CTCGTGTGGCTGTCGCTGTGGGACAGGCTGCTGCCAGCAGAAGTGTTGCTGTCAGAAGCAATGCTGCTGCTAAGTGGAAGAGAGACACTGGAGTCTTTGCTCACAGCCTTGGTAAGTCTTCCCTCCTCCCCTGCTGTGTGGCCTCCCTGCCCTATGTACCTGGCTGTGTTGGAACTGCCCACTCTGTGCCTTGTACTCCGACTTTGCAGGGTTGGTTTTTTCCCCTTTACAGTGACATCATGACTACTTCAATTTCTTCTCCTCAGATCTTCCTGAATTTAGCACCTGGGAGGTATATATCCTCTGTCGTCTTTGTAATCTCATTTCCTTTGGGAAAAAAGATAACAGAGCAGCACACGTTGTCAACAGTAGCAGGGGAAGCACGGCCACCCATGTCAAAAATCTATTTATATTATTAGCTTAACAAAATAAAATCATAATAGGTAAATTTCATTTTCTTGAAAACATTTCTTATGATGAACTTTTTATTCTTTCATGTTATACATTCACTAACTTCTTTCCTGTTTCCATGTCTCTGTTTTAAAAAAACAAAAACAAAATGCAACTCTTTCTCAATAAAAAAAAAAAAAATCTCTCTTTAGTCTATGGTGTCTCTCTGTTTTATAAGATGTATACCCACACAAGGGTGAGGCCAATGGAGAAAAACAATGGGTGAAATATAAAGACTTGGGAAAGGTTTCAGCTCGTGGGTGATTTGTCTTATACTATCTTATAACAGGCTTTACAATAAAGATGGAAACTCGGTAGCGACTCCCCAAGCTTTGGTCATCAATGCCATAGAAGGAAATCCCTGTGCTCTCCTGCAGACGCTCTCGTGATATGCGTCTGGAACTGAACCACAGTTAAAGTGTTGGACAGCCCCAGTGTGGCCGGTCACAGCGTCACTCCATCTCTTCGTGAATTTTGTACTCATTCGTTCACTCAGCAAATCCGTGAGTGCTGTATTTGGCCAGGCATTCAGCCAAGCATTAGAGATATAAGACAAATAAGCCTTTGCCCTCAAAGAGTTCACGTCGAAGAGGAAAACAGATAAGTTAGAGTTAATTACAATAACAATTTCCTGATGTCAGATTTTCTTTGCTCGATCACTTTCTTTCCACTCTTATTCGAATAGAATTTTGTGTGCACTCTTGCAGGCACATTGCTCAGAACCAACGCAAGAGTCCCACAGGTCGATTGCTGGGGAAGCTGACCACTCTTTCCATAGGGTTTCCCATGGGGCCTCCCAGTACATTTGACACAACTGACCACTCCGTCCCCCCACGGCCCCCAACATTTCCTCTCCCGCTCTCCTTGCTCAGCCTCCCTTCCTCCCTTTCTTTCTCTTCCTAGCACATCTCAGGCCCTAGTCCTTTTCCCTGTCCTCTTCTCCATCAGATCTACATTCTCATTTGATTTCTATCTTTGTCTTTCTCACAGTACTTGACACTTTCTAACGTATGATAAAATTCATGAACTTGGAGTGAGCAGGACTGAAGCCATGTTGAGACCTAAAACTTCACGAGCTCTGAAAGATTTTAAAAGGACCCAGTTTTGTTCTTGGCATGCATTTCTCTGAGTTCCCTCTCTTCCCATGGTTATTTGATATTTCGAATCTTGGTTGTAGGGCAACATGACATTATTTACGTGAATGTCAACTTGTTTTCCAGCCAGCCTGAAGCTGCAAACTTGCAGACTTGCACGTACTATCCAGACCCAGGGAAACCAAACAAGACATCAATTAACCTATGCTGACACCACCCCTCCATCAGGACCCTGAGATAACAGCAAGGACAGAGCAGAAGCGAGACAGAGCCTTGGCAAGGAATTGCACCTGGCTCCTTGCACAGCCCCTGTGGCTCACGTCTCCTCCCTCCTGCTTTTCATTTCCCACGTTCCATTCTCTCATCCCCTCTTTAAAAACCCCTCAGTAAATCTGAGTTTTTAGATGGCTTTAGCCTGCCCACTCTCCTACAGGTTACCAGAGAGGTAGGTTAACCTAACATCTCTCTTCTGGTCACTGATATTCCTGAATAAAAGCTGACTTCCATTTTCACCAACATTTGACTTTTTTTCTTTTGCCTAGGGGCAGGCAGCCAGACCCGTGCCCAATATCAAAGTTATCATGTTTACTGTTCGATGTTCCTTCTACTACCTCCCATCCCCAATCAGAATGTAAGTTCTACACAGCAGAGATTTTTAACTTTGTTCATTGATGTAGGTACACAGTACGTACTTAATAAATTTTTTTTTCTTCTTTTTGTCTTTTTTCGTGACCGGCAATGGATCGCAACCCTCAGTGTCGTGCCTGTACCAGACCGGGACCGGCAACGGGATCGCAACCCTCGGTGTTGCATCCGCACCTTGTTCAGCCAGTGAGCGGCCGGTCTGTACGTGGGATCCGAACCCTCGGCGGGAGCGCCACCGCGCTCCTAAGCGGCGCACTATAGCAGTGCGCCACCGGGCCGGCCCAGTACGTACTTAATAAATTTTTAAAAAATTTTTTTTTCTTTTGGCAGCTGGCCCATAAGGGCATCCAAATCCTTGACTTTGTTATCAATAACTTCTTAATGAATAAATAATTTGTAAGATTTTTTATAATGGAAAATACCAAACATACACAAAAGTGGAGCACAGCACAATAAATTTCTAAGGACCAACACCCAAGTCAACAATTATCAATACCTGGCCAATCTCTCTTCACCTATGACCCCATCCTCACCCTTTCCATCACTGAATTATAGGAAATCAAATCCAGATCTCATGTCATTTTATCTGTAAATATGTCAGTTTATGCTTCTGCGAATGAGTGAATTTCTCATCATCTCTGTCTGACTTAGACTATGGCCATAAGTTATCTGAGAAACAGAAGTAAACTTCTCATGATCCAGGGCCGGCCCCGCGGTGCACTCAGGAGAGGGCGGCGCTTGGGTGTGCAGCGGCGCTCCCGCTGCGGGTTTGGATCCTATGTGGGAATGGCCAATGCGCTCACTGGCTGAGCGCGGTGCAGGCGACACCAAGCCAAGGGTTGCGATCCCCTTACCGGTCACAGAAAAGACACACACACAAAAAAAAACCAAAAAAAAAAAAAACTTCTCATGATCCAATATGAGATCATCTCTCATAGAGAGGTGTGGAGGAAATCATGACATCTTCAACCTTTAAGAAAATTTCACAGTGTTCTCTGGGAGGACCCAGCAATTTGTAAGGGCACCTTGTTGAGCAGGGCACTCCCTAACCCTAATTTATAAGCAGACTTTTTACAAATTGTAGGCAGGTGAGAATAGAATATCCAGACCAGTAGGACAGAGACCTGAGACATGGCGGGAGAGGTGGAGGACTTTTAATCAATTTCACTTTTGCTAGTAGCCCTTAGATACCAAGCAGTATTTATCTTTAGGGGACAGTTTTCATTTCCACCAACAGATAAACAAAAAGATTAGAAAATTTTTTTTTCCATTTTAACCAATAAGAACTTTATAATGCTTTAAAAAATCTCCACTTAACAAGTACTACTTTAACATATAAACTATTTGTATCAGAAGATTCTTAAAGCTCCAGGAAACCATCACACTTCACCTCCTTTAAAAAAAAAAAATACTCAGCAATTATAAGTGTTGACTCTGGAGCCAGGATGCCCCAACTAAAATCCTGGCTTTTCTGCTTACTAGTCTACTTATTTCTGCCTCACTTTCCTCATATTCAGAGTGGGGATCACAGCCCTGCTTCTCATAAGTTTTTTGGTAGAAATAAATGTGTTCTATGAAAGGACGTATTCATAAAAAAAGCAAATAATCGATATTGGATTTAGTTCGTCCTGCTTTATTTTGTTGATATTGGGTGTCAGTATATTACTTTAAGTTGATCCTTTCAAGCACAGAATTGCCTTTTTTCCCCCAGGACAAGCTGGCCCACAGGCCTGGGATTCCTGTCTCTGGATGCAAGGTCTGGAAAGTCTTAATTAGCATATGCAAAAATTAGGGTGTGGCCTAGGGCTCCCAGGCCAGGCAGGCTCCAGCCTCTGTCCCTGACACTTAGTGCCTGGATCCCTGGCTGAGGGTGCTTGGTTACCCGGGCAAGTGAGCGATTTGGTGAACAGATTCTCCCTTCTATAGGTAAGGACATCCCCCCGGGGGGGTGAGTTAATGGAGGAGACACTGTCATCCCTGTGTCACAGCATTCTTTGCTCTCTCTCCCCCAGTTTGGAGAGGTCGAGGTGGGTGGGGACCTGGGCTGCAGCCCAGTGGGTGCCAAGGGGCCTGCATTACACACGGAGCTGGCAGGGAGCAGTCCCCAGGTGCTGGGACTCGCCAAGTAGGTTTGGCTAGAATTCTCGTTTGCAGCCATCTGGAAAAGCAGATTAAATAAACCCATGAATCTGGTCATGTGCCAGCACACCCATGGCTGCATCCGTGTTCACAGATCTTGACTGAAAAGAAATCTTAGCACACAATTCCAAATCGCAATCCATGGATAGTGCAGAGGTCCTTCCTAGTGAGGAAAAGAAGGTGAATTTGAAGTTAAGAGAGCAGGGGCTCTTTTAGTTAATTGCAACTAAAGAAAAAAAATCCAAAAAAAAACAAACAAAAAAGAACATGACCACTTCTTAAAGTAATACTACTGGGAAGGAAACCTAATTCATCCAATAACAAATATCTATTTATCAAGTCAATGTCGCTGCTGTAAATGAGCAAAAGTTTGGAACTCGTGGAGTGCTTCAAGTTTGAAAAGGGTGAACATAATGTTTTCTGTAAAGTACTCTCACATATTTGTTTTGCTCCTGTCAGTCTCTGAACTCATTGGTGTCTCCTAAGGCAGAAGATGTTTTTTCATTAAGGCACATATTTTATTTTATTTCATTGTTTGTTTGCTTTTTTGTCTTGGGGGGGCTGGAACAAGGACCTGAACCCTTCACTGTGGTGTTACACAAGGCATATATTTTAAATAGCAAAATTTCCAAATACATTTTTCTTTAGACTGCCTTAGTAATAGCTAAAAGGGACAAAAATACCAATTTAGTTCAGTCATTATTCTTTTTGTTTGTTTTTTTAATTATTTTATTTTATTTTATTTTTAGTTCAGTCACTATTGATAATAGACCAACAGTGGTTTCTCCACGTTGTGTAATGGCAAATGCAATTCATGCAAAAATAGTCCAAGATGAATTTATCTGACCTGCTGCTCCTTAGCAGTTCAGGTAGACTTATCTACTGGATACCCTTCTGAAATTACTGTCTCTGGATTATGACCACCCAGAATTGTCAGTTTCGGTTGAATTAGCAATGTGTGTTTGCAAGAGAAAGAATGGGAAAGGAAGTTTATTGAGTACTTATGTGTGCCGAGAACCAGACTGGGCACTTCCTGAGACAACTTTGTGAGTTGGGTGTGATCATCCACATTTACGAGGAGACTTAAGAAGTTATATACATGTCATAAGCTGGGATGAAGCCAGGAGGAACATGGAGTTTCAGACTCCAAAGCCAAGCTCTTTCCACTGAACCACACCGGCCACTGCCAATCCAAACTAGAAGAGAGAGGGGGAAAAAAAGCCTGAGGTTGGGAAAGTTTGCGGTGAGACATCAAAACATTAAAGTTGATTTGATAATTTAACACCTATTAGCAAATCATCTAACCAGAGGAATGAATAAGAGGATGGGCTAGAGGCACAATGAATGGTAACTAGTATTAAAAGATAATTTTTGGAAAAGGGTTAAGTCATGACTCTCATGCAGATGTAAAAATAAACATGTGTTAAAGGTTTTATTTAACTAATTAATGAAGAAACTGGTAAGGCTGCTACAACCAGATCAAAGGAGAATCCAAAGAATAGAGGCATTTATAGATCAGAAATATTGAAACTGGTTTACCATGGTGGGGAGGGAGAGAATGTTGTCCCTTCACTGGATAATATTTTTTGCATGTCTTTAAACAAGAATTCCTTCACATTGTTATCAGTTATTACAATTTACAGAGTTTATTTATTTATTTATTTATTTATTTTGTCCTTTTTGAGACCGGCCGCACCGCACTCAGGCAGTGAGCACTGTGAGTGCACCACTCATCCCCATATAGGATCCGAACCCGCGGCGGGAGCACTGCTGCGCTCCCAGCACCGCACTCTCCCGAGTGCGCCACGGGCTCGGCCCACAATTTACAGAGTTTAAAATAGCTCCAACAATCCAGTTTTTCCTTGAAACACGAATTTCTCCCTACTCCCCCGCTCCCACCCCATGCACTTGACCAGATACCTACACTGCATTTCTTTTTCTTTTTTTTTTTTTAATTTTATTTTGTCAATATTACAATGTGTTTGATTATTGTGGCCCATTACCAAAACCTCCCTCCCTCCTCCCTCTCCCCACTCCCACCCAACAATGTCCTTTCTGTTTGCTTGTTGCATCAACTTCAAGGAATTGTAGTTGTTATGTCTTCTTACCCCCCCTCCCGGTTTGTGTGTGTGTGTGTGTGTGTGTGTGTGTGTGTGTGTGTGTGTGAATTTATTTATTTATTTTTAGCTCCCACCAATAAGTGAGAACATGTAGTATTTCTCTTTCTGTGCCTGACTTGTTTCACTTAATATAATTCTCTCAAGGTCCATCCATGTTGTTGCAAATGGCAGTATTTCATTCGCTTTTATAGCTGAGTAGGATTCCATTGTCCTACACTGCATTTCAATGACTGTACTTGGTCAGTTGACTTTCTATTTAAGCTGTCCACCACAGTTTTATGGTTTTGTTAGGCATATTCCTCCTGCTGCATCTAATACTAGATTGGTCTAAGCATTGATCTAACAGAGAATAATTTAGGAAGAGATGATTAATTCATTCGTAAATGCCTCATGCAAGTAAAAAGGAATGATATGATAAAATAGAAAGCGAAGCGTGAATTTCAAAGATAACTTGTTTCTACTCTTGCCATGGTCTTGATCAAAAGCAGAACTATTATGGCCTGCATATTGAGTATCTGGGACTAGTTCACACTTTCTGAAGTTGTATGGAGTGCTTCCTTTCAGGGAAGATTGTTTTGGGGTGGGAGAGGGGGCTCGATATAAAGGATTGTGAGTAAGTGATAGGGCTACATCATAGTTTTCTTTTTTCTTTCTTTTGGCAGCTGGTCTGTACAGGGACTGAACCCTGGACCCTGGTGTTATCAGCACCATGCTCTATCTAACCATCTGAGCTAAGCAGCCAGCCCAACTTCGAAGTTTTCTGAGAACCTAAGTCATTTAGTACAAAATTCTAGAGAAACTAACTTATATTGCTTCACCAATAACATTCAGGGGAAGGTGTTCTTTATTTGTTTACCTCTGTAATCGTTTGTGTTTCAAAAAGATCTAAATTTGGGTGTCTGGTTTTTTTAAGGGGATTCCAAAACACAGCAGCTGAGGAATGGGGTGGACCCCAGTGCATGAAGTCTGTGGCTTCCTTTTCCAGTTTCTTAATGGTATCTCTTGATGAGCAGATGTGGTTTTTTGGATGAAATCCAATTTATCACTTTTTTTTCCCTTTAAGATGAGTCTTTTTTGTCATTTCACTGAAATATTTGCCAGTCCCCAGATCACAAAGATCTGTTTTCTTCTAGATGGTATGCTATGATATTAGAGTTTGTTACGTCAGACTAATTTTTGTGTATGACATGAGGTAGTCATCAGTAAAATGTGTTTTAAATCATATGAAGTCACAGCCAAGATACAGTAGCTCCCTAGAAATTAGTGAAAGCGCCCTCCTCCAATCCTGACTTTGCAGAAAAGAAAGCAGTAGCCAAGGAATTCCCTGGAATTCCTTCCCCATGCCTTCCTCCAGCACCAGCTTGCCTTGATTTAAGCTGACAACTCTTTGTTTTATTTGAGTGTTTTACTCAATGTTGTATACTCTTCTGTTTTAGAAGTAGATTAAAGGCATAATTAGTTATTATACTCTGATATCAGCTAAAAGCAAATATCTCAGTTGTTAGTAATCAGACTTAATTTAGTTTGCTTCTGGGTAGTGAAGGGCTTGACTGTGGCAGTACTGAGAGCCTAAAAAATGGGCTTTGTGGAAATGTACCTTTGGTATAATACGAAATACTCGTATATTTGGTCTTTGTTCTTGGTTCCTGTCACAGAGCTAAAACTCATAGAAATTCCTGAGTGGCAGGAGTGTCTTTTGTTATTCATAATGAGGCCATTGATAACACCTGAGTTTATGCTAATGAGCTGTTTTAGGGTGTGGCCCATAGAGAGCTTCAGGATGGGTTCAGTCACCAGGAAGAGCAAGTGATTAGAGTATTAGAGGGTTGGAACTTTCAGCCCCACTCAACAACCTCCAGGAAGGGGAGCTGAAGACCAAGCTCTATAAAACTCTTGAACAATAAGAGCTGAGAGCTTCTAGGTTGCTAAGCACTTGAAGGTGATCGGAGGTTGGTGCACCCAGAGAGGGCGTGCAAGCTCTGTGCCTCCTGCCCACATCCACAACTCGCCCTGTGCATCTCTTCACCTGTATCCTTTGTAATATCCTTTTTATACTAAACATAAATGTTTTCCTGAGTTCTGTGAGCTGTCCCAGCAAATTAATCAAACCCAAGGAGGGAGTAGAGGGAACCCCAATTTGTAGCTGCCAGCTGGTCAGAAGTATGGGTGACAACCTACTACTTGTGATTGGTGTCTGAAATCGGGGGCAGTCTCGTAAGACTGAGCCCTTAATCTGTGGAATCTGATGTTTTCTCCAGGTAGAAAGTGTCAGCATTGAATTAGAGGACACCCAGTTGGTATCAACAGGAGAATTGCTTGTGTGGGGGGAATACCCCCCATGTCTGGCCACAGAAGTGTTCTGTGTTAAGAGCGTGGGTAGAAGGAAAACGTTTGCTTTTTCCTTCAGTAAATACTGGCCCAAACTCTATTTTTAAAAAGGCTTTGGGCCTTGGGGCAAGTGAAATCATTTGCAAATGTCACTCTCTTGCCCAGCTGCCCAAATCCTTTGGAACTTAGAGGCGACTGGTGACTCTTCTTGTGTGAATGCACTCCAGTGGTTTGGCCAACCCTCTGCGGTGGTTGTGGTGTCTAGCCACTTTTGCGGCAGCCATGGTTATTGTGGTGGCTGTGGTAGGCCACCCACATGGGGGTGCTGTTTTTGGCATG